TCCCAGATGCAGCAGCCGTGGGTCTGGCCACCCTGAGCCTGTCTCCTCGGCCGGCATTGAACTCGGACTCCGTGGTTGTATGTGTTGGGCATCTGGGAAAACCCACTGTGTTTGTAAAGCACTTGCATTTGCCCAGTGGGCCCGCACGGACCTGTGCCCTGCGGGCAGCCGGCGCCTGGGAGCCCCGTGTCTGCTTCACGACAGGTACGACAGGGACCCCACAGCCCGCCTCCCGGCCCCCCCGGGCCCCTTCGTGGGTCATGAAAGATACGATTTTTCTTTTCCTACACGTGAGCCTGCCTTCCCCTTTAGAAAAATATCCCCTCTCCCGTGTGGACAACACAGGATGAGTCCCCTGGAACCGCTCTCCTGGGCGGGATCTTTGAGTCTTGCCAAACGTTACCTGGCCAAATGTCCTCCTGCAGAGCCTGCCAGCTTCACATCAAAACCCTCTGTTTGCGTGGCCCTGTGTGGCTGTGGGATCTGAATCCCACCACCGTCTCCCACGGGCCCTGGGAGGGGTGGCCAGGGCCCCGTCGGGGGCTGCACCGAAGTGACCACGGGAAGCCCCGTTCTGCCCCGAGTTCGTGCCTCTGCCTGCCCACACATCCTCCGTGGCCTCTCGCCGTGGCTGCCCTTCCAGTGTGGACCGTGCCGACTCAGTACCTCTGGGTGTCTGGGATGCTCGCAGACGTGAGGGGCACCGTCACCCAACACCGAACAAGTGCAATTAACATGAGCTCGGGCCTCGGTCCTTCCGGAAGCCTCCGGGGCCCAGCTCAGGGAGGGGCCTGGCAAGACAGCCTCCCAGGACGAGGAAACTGTCCAGTCGAATGTCGCCCCTTCACATGCAAGACCACAGCCAAACCGCAGAACCACTGTGCGCCCCAGGGTTCCCAGCTGCTCCCGCCGTGCGGCCAGGCCGGGGACGGTGGCAGGGACCCTCTGCATCCTCCCCGCCCACGGGTGTTCCCACCCGAGCATCAGAATAAATTGTGCCATTTTTGTACCCGCGGCTGCTGGTGGTCATTTCCATTTTCCTGGGGTGGGGGGGGCCGGTGTTGGGACACGTCACGGCCATTGTCCCCAGGGTGCCCTCATCCCCAAGGGGCGAGGGATCCTAGATGTCACGATGGCCGGTGGCCCGCCAGAGTGCCCCAGATAGGTAAACAGACGCACAGGCTATGGGTGAAGATAGGATTTCGTGGGGTGGTGAGGATGGAAGTCCCCGGAAAGCAGGCTGAGAACCGTGGGGAAGGCACGTGCTCTGTCCCCCGTCTCTGTTTCGTCAGTTGCCGCCAGTGCTTAGGCACAATTTTCACTCTGCCTTTCTGCTGTGCGGGAGAAGGAGCCAGAAAATGTTGAACCCACTGCAGCGTGATAGGGCAGAACCAACCAGGAGTTTTCTGGGCAGCCAGCTCTGAGCAGACACCTGAGTCATTCACCCCGACTACCCTTTCTTCTGTGCAAGATGGGGTCCCTCTCCAATGCACGTGCCCCGGTTCCGGGGCCCCCAGGCGTGGGTCTCTGGCAAGCGGGAGCAGACGAAGGGGCGGTGGGTAGGGCTGCGCAGGAACCAGGGCAGGGCTGGCTTCTCGCCCCTAGAGGGCGTGCTGTCTCCGTGGGAATTGAGCGGCTTCTCGGGAATCACGTTATCTGGCAACACCTTCTAAAGGAGCCATGGTCTCCTTACCCGTTGACTTTGCAAATGCACCACAATTTCCAGAAACAGCTAAAAATTTGGGAGCTGCTATTGTCATTTGTAATCACCCCCAAAGATGTCCCCTTCCTGGTCCTGGGACCTGTCACCTCATGGCACAGAGGGGACCTTGTCAAGGTCCCTGAGGTGGGATGACCCTGGGGTTCTGGGGGAACTGGCCCTGCCCACACCTGGGTGTGAGGACTTCTGAGCCCAGAACCGTCAGAGAACCATCGTGTGTGGCCTTAAGACCCCCCCCCCCCCCCCCCCCCCCCCCCCCCCCCCGCCGCCTCGGGCTGCTGGGAATGCAGGGATCTGAGGCCAAACGGGGTGGGTGGTTCACGTCAAAACCCCAGAAGCTGTCCAGCCGGGAGAGATAATGGGGGGGCCAGGCGTTGGCATGGAAATCTGGTCAGACGGGGAGGACGAGGGAGGGCACGGCGGGGCTGCTCGCACAAGACCGCTGGCCGAGCCCCCTCCTGGCCAGCGGGGACTCCCACGAGTGGCGGGCATCTACATCATTCCCGTGGAAATGGGAGGCAGGAGGCAGCCTCTGGTGTTCGTGAAGGAACGTTCTGGTAATTCGGGAACAGCTGGGCGAGGCCACCTCAGAAGATCAGGAGCCCCTGTCACTGGAAGTCGCCCCGGGGCGGGCTCTACCCCTCAGAACCCCCTCCTTAGTTGCACCAGCCCTCGCCAGAGGGCTCCCCAGGCCCTGTTGCTTTGCAGCAATTCCTGAGGTGGAAGCAAAGTCAAGGTGGGAATGACTTGGATCCTTTCTTTGTCCTAAAAACCGACCGTGAAGTACTGGACCGAGATGCTGGTTCTGGTCTTGACCACCAAGTGGAGAGGCAGGTGGGGGCCACGGAGTGGGGGCAGGCCCAGGGTGATGCAGGCGGACAGGCGGTGTGGACAAGCCCAGGCACGCACCGTGCAGGTGCCCCATCAGTTAACCGATGCCTCCTGGTTGTTGCTGTGACTTTGGCGACAATAAATTCTCTAGTCAGATCTTTATAAATATCCCCGATTGTGGATACAGGTAAAATGCCAGGGTTGGTGTCTGTGTGTGTCAGAGGGCATTACCCTGGGGGACATTTTGATGAGTTGGGGAGTACCCTGCAGAAAGGGGGCACTAATTTACATCCCCATCTACACAGGTTCAGGGATCCCACTTCCTTACATCCTCCCAAAACTGGGTGTTGGGCCATGTGTCATTACCTATTTGATAGGAAAACACTCTCACCGCACGTTGACCATTTATATTGCCAATTTATATCCTTTGTCCTTTTTTCCATTGGAAAGTGGCCTTTTCTTATTGGTTTCTAAAAACTCTTTACATGTTGGGTGTGGAGACCCTTTAATAATACTTGCTTATAAAAGCTTTTTTGCATATAATTTGTCATATATGTTACACAAATTTCTCCTGGTTTCTTGTTTAACTTTGTTTATGATCATTTCAACATATTTTTTTTTTCTTCTCTTTACCAGCTTTCACATTTTTGGTCATTCTTTTCCTCGACGTTTTCTGCCCTTAGTGACAAGCTTACAAACTTGGGCTGGGGAGGCCTTTATGTAAATATTCACCTCTGTTTTCTTCTGGTTCTTCATGGTTTTCCTCTTTTTTTATTTTGTAGATATTTATTTATTATTTGTTCGGGGGGGGGGGGGCAGAGAGAGACAGAGAGAGAATCCCAAGCAGGCTCCAAGCTGCTGGCACAGAGCCTGACCAGGGCTTGATCTCACAAACTGAACCGTGAAATCATGACCTAAGCCAAAATCAAAAGTCAGACGCTTAACTGACTGAGCCACCCTGGCTCCCTGTTTTGGGTTTTTTTTTAATGTTTATTTATTTTGAGAGAGGGACAGCACGGAGGGGGAGAGAGAGAGGGAGAGAGAGAATCTCAAGCAGGCTCCGAGCTATAAGTGTAGAGCCTGAAGCAGGGCTCAAACTCAGGAACTGTGAGATCACGGCCTGAGCCAAAACCAAGAGTCAGATGCTTAACCAACTGAGCCACCCAGGTGCCCCTCTTCTTTTCTCAAATATTAAACGTTAGATAAACTTGAGAGTGTCATTTCCACGTATGGTGTGAGTGAGGTAAGGCTCTAGGGACATTTTTATTTTTTTTATGTTTATTTTTGAGAGAGAGAACATGAGCAGGGGAGGGACAGAGAAAGAGGGAGACAGAATCCAAAGCAGGCTCCAGGCTGTCAGCACAGAGCCCGGCGCGGGGCTCGAACTCACGAACCATGAGATCACAACCTGAGCCGAAGTGGGACGCTTAATCCACTGAGCCACCCGGGCATTCCGGAATTTTTATTTTTTAAATAACAAGGAACCCCTACTGCAGCACAGCGTGGCCCTTCCGCACAGATCAGGAGTGCTATGTATTTACACGGGGCTCTTTCTGGGTCTTCTAGCACTTAGCCGCCTCCAGCTCCAATTTTAATGTACCTTGTAAAGTCAGAGTAATGGTTGTATCTGCCAATATAAATTCCTCGTTGTTGTTTTTTAATATTTTCTGGACTATTCTAAGTATAGATTGCCGATGGACTTTAAAATTCCTTTCAGTTCCAGAAAACTTGCTTCTGTGATTCTGGTGAAAATGGTTACTTTGCATAATAATGTGGTTCCAGGTTCATTCTGGAACATAGGTCGATCCCTGCGGTCCCGCGTATCTCTCCATTTACCCCGGCCACATGCGTCCCTCTGTCATTTCCAGCACTCAGCACCTCTGCACACCGCATTTTCCTTTCTCTTTTCTTCATATGATTTTAAAAATTGAGGGGCGCCTGCGTGGCTCAGTCAGTTAAGCATCCGACTCTTGATCTCAGCTCAGGTCATGATCTCACGGTTCGTGAGGGTCAAGCCGCGTGTCGGGCTCCACAATGAGCATGGTGCCTACTGAAAAAAAATGACACACGTGACATACTCTAAAATTCGCCATTTTGGGGAATGCAAGCTGGTGCAGCCACTCTGGAAAACAGTGTGGAGGTTCCCCAAAAAATTAAAAAGAGAACTACCTACCCTACGACCCAGCAATTGCACTAGGCATCTATCCACGGGATACAGGTGTGCTGTTTCGAAGGGACACATGCACCCCC